GAGGAGGAGGAGGAGGAGGAGAGGGAGAAGAAGGAAGAGGAGGAAGAGGAGGAGGAGGAGGAGGAGCGGAACGAAGACAAGGAAGAGGAAGAAGAAGCGAATAAGAAGGAGGGGAAGCAGAAGAAGGGTCGGGAGGAAGGCAGAGAATTGAGCGGTAGAAGAAATGCTAAAATTTGAAGAAGCTTTAGAAGGAGGTGCAAGTGAGGAAGGAGAATCCGAAGAAGAAGAAGGAGGAGGAGAAGAAGAAGAAGGGTTAAAAGGACTGATAAAAGCTAACGAGTTGAAATAGAAGCAATAAGAAAAAAGTGAATCAAGAAAATGGAACAATCAAAACAATAATAAAACAGGCAAGGGTTCAAGTGGGAAAAATCGGAGGGAATGTGAGGCAGCGGTGCTATTCAGAATTAGAACCACTAGTAATGGAAAATGCTAGGGTGGCGGTGTTCGGCATCGTTGCAGTTTTTGTGTTTTCCCGTGGCGCCAGCGGCATTGTGTTGGGATTGGTTAAAATCAGTGCGCAACTAGAGAGAGAGAGGAAATAGATACACTCATTTGGCATGGTGGAACTCAAGTCGGAGTATTAGAACACAGGACTTAATTGAGAAAATGTCGGTCAACGCCTTATCTGTTGACTAATCTGGAATTGTTCTGCTATGCAAGCGAATTACCGGGTCGCCTGTGGACGACTCACTTTCCTATAAGCAAACATCCTCCCGGACGGTAATGCACCCCATCAACTTTTCCGGGGAAATACGTTCAATCTTACTACGATTTCTGAGGTTCCGATCTCAAAAACTTAATAGGGTTCGCAGGGCCAACCATCAGTGTAGGGCAAAGATACAAAAATCGGTATCCTATCGTCACTGAAATGACTTCAGAATGCACTACACGATAAGCAGTATTACAAACTTACTCAACGCCGATTAGCAAAAAGTATCAATCTTTCGCATGCGTCGGAATTTTACGCTAATTTTGGGCCTACTGTATACATCCACTTACTGTGTTCCCATCCAGGGCGCAGACTTCAAACAATTCTCAGTCCTGCTGTTGCCACTATCTCTGACAATTAATTCCCGCCAAATTTCGACAGTTCGGATTGCTAAAGAAATTTTTCCGGTGTTCTACCCATCTTGTTCTTTATCTAGAGTATCAAAATATAAAGCAGAGTTTCCCAGGTGCAAATTTGTAAATTGCAAGAACAGCAGGATTTATCAGATCCAGTACTAAGGAGCACTTGCCTAGTTGGCTTTTCAAACAGGAACATAGAACGCCCCGTTCCTCCATTACCGAAAATTTGTTAGATATGTGCCATTCTATGAACGCTAAAACTTCCTTTCGAGTACTTGTTTGAGCACGAACAACTCATACCTTGCGCTACCTGGAGGCAGCCTATATACGGCGGTCAAAACTACACCTACGTAAACAGTTGGAGCATGTGGTTAACCTAACTTTGCCCTGGTAAAATCCAGCTCCCAGATTTACACAACACCCTTCCCAATTTTTTCTGCATTAGACGTTTTACCCCATTCTTGTTGCCCACAGTCTTTTACCTTTCCTACGTTATTGATTTGCCTCTTGGCCACATCCTATGACCTTGCAGTTTGTATCGATTTTTCTGTATGAATTCAATTTTGTATTTCTATTACCTCATTCATGTTATGCAATGAGAGGTAGAAGCTGATGAGCACTCCTGAAATTTATGGATCAATAAATCCTGCTGTTTTTGTAATTTACACAGTATCTAAAAACTTGTGTACTTATCGTACTGACAGCCCGACGAGTAGCTAAAGACCCAGAAACGTGCTTTTCCCAGCTGGTTTCACCTTCCTATAGACTCTCTGTGCAATATACTCCAGTTCTGACGTTAAACTCATTCTTTTCCTCAGAAAGCAAGGTGTGAGCTTAGAGGCACCTTTTTTCAGTGCAAACTTAAGTGTGCTTTTAGCTGGTACGATTGGAAATACGTCAAGGTAAGTGCTGAGCAAGCACCTGCTGACCGGTAGGCGTTATTTTTGCTACTTTCTAGGAAGACTGCGACGTCGAGTGGAAATTTGCCAGAACCAAACTCTGGCTCAATTACATCGACAACAGTTCCACCCTGCCTTCGCCCTTCAATATCCTGCCCACCGCTCACAGCCTTGTCAGGGGCATGGACTTCATCAAACGTTGCTTTGCAGACAGTAGCACCTTCATCAGTGGGGATGCCCGGAGCATTCAGTTTATCAAGGTAAGTCTTAAACACCCTCTTTTGCGTCGTCCTTACTCCCCGCCCTCGAGTCATTTAACATTTCTATCCATGTCTACTCGCACTCCGAAATACCTGTCTTCATTACTTCATCGGCACCGATGTAGACTGATTGTATGTATGGCGATGCACTCGGCGTGGCAACTGTGTCCAAACCTCTTCAGCCTGTTGATTGCGTTTGTTTCGTCCATATCACGTCGGGTTCACCATTTGGGAACTATCGTAGGGGAACTTGCGAACGGCCAAGTAGGCAGTGGACGAATCCAGTAGGAACTGGGGTGGTTTTCCTTTGCCTGGTTTTGCTTCCGGTCTTTTTGAATTTGGCTTGAAGAGAGGGCTCACTGGCTCCTTCTTAATGCGGCTTTTATGGCGCTCCCAGGCGAGGGAGCCTAACAAGCGAAGTTTGCCGTTGGTACGCGTATTGAGCGTTGGTCACGCCAGCCGCCTGCGTCCTCTCCTATCTTCGGTCTTATTGACTTTGGTCTTTAAATCGGACACAGGTATGGCAGTGGTCAAAAAGCGGGGTAAATTCGTCGCGAGTCCACTTTCACTTTAATTCATCTGTAGTCACTGCGTCAGCCTTCAACTTGCTGAAGCTTGTGGTGGACATGATCGAGAGCGACGAGCGAAATGTCCCCCTAAATCAGGGGCCGGGAACGTATGGCTCGCGAGCCAGGTCTGGCTCTTTTGATGGTTGCATTTGGCTCGCTCAGATAAAATTGGAACTAGAAACTTCAGATTTTGTGATATTGGTTCCTCCAATGAATGAATCCAGAGGCCTGTTATACTCACATTTAATTGGATTCAATCTTAAAAGATATTATAAGGCCCTGATTGAAATTTATTTCCTAATATCTGCTTTCTTGGCTCTCTGAGTCGAAACGGTTCCCGACCTCTGCTCTAAATAGACCGCCTGGTATATGTACTGGACCGAAACGGCAGCCAGATCAGGGCAAAGTAGGTATGTTATTCGGGTTGGGCTCCCATAACGAATGCCGAACGTGTGTAGTGGTCACGGATGAGCGATCTACTAAAACCACAACCACTAAGAATGCTCCGTCTGGTGCAAGAAAACAGTCGGATATTGGGAGTGATTTATTGGGTACACAAGGCAAATTGCCGTGAATTGACTGTTTTCTGGTGCATGAAGAAATGCGACCGTCTGGGAGCGTGCGAGCAGCGAAGTATTGTGTACAGATTTGTCATTGTTCGTGTCAGCACGCGGGAATGCTCTTTGGTAGTGTGGTTGGTCAAGTCAATCGGACAGTCAGGGGGGGGAGGGGGCATAAACAGAGGAGACCATGGGTGACAAGGCAGGCTGGCCAATGCGCGCACGATGCGCGTTGTCTGCACTAGTGACTGAATAAGCTGGGGTCAAGTCTGGGGGCCGCCAGTCCGCGAGACTGCTCGGCAGCCATGATGCAGGGTTAGAGGGGGGACACTGGAGCGGCTGTTGTCGGTTAGAGAGAGGGTGATACGTTTTATTTTGAAAACATTATTCCAAAATGTTCAGCAATAAGTGTCTTCTACTCTAAAAGAATAAAATTGGGCGCAAAAACCAACAACAACGGGATATCAACAGTTATTTAGGAGGTTTGGCAGATTTGCTTATTTTAGTCAACCCAATTGTGAAATAACTCGCGGCATTCGGCCGAATTTGAACCCGCATAGAAGGGAAGACCTTTAGGCGAAGCCAATGCTCTACCAGTTGAGCGCGTATAATCGTTCAAAGTGTGATTAAACTCACGGTGCTAGGAGTGGCATTTGTAGCCCAGCTGGTAGACCGTTGGCTTCCTGTAAATCCCTTCCCTACTATGCAGGTTCAAATCCCGCCGAATGCCACGTGTTTTTTCACAATTGGGCCAACTAAAATATTGACAGTTATCTATAATCGCAAATGACTGTTATTTTCGACATTGGAAGTAAATGTCCGACGAAAAGTCATCAAAGATAGATCAAACTGGACTGCTTTCAAAACAGCGCTAGCGTTGTTACCTTGTGCCCTCATGACCTCATTGTACTTCATGTAAACAAAGAGGGACAACAATTGGTTTAAAATGGGCGAAGTAGGCTAACCAAAGTGCATATAAGAAAATTTTCATGCGAATAGAGGGAGGGGAACAATTTTAGCTCAAGTGGAAAAGCCTGAAAGGAACACTGAAAAAATGCTAGGTCAACTTTAGGGGGACCGGGACGCCAGAGGAAGGAAGCACTGGAACAGCTGCTACACAAGAGAAAGAGAGAGAGAGAGAGTCGGTAACACACATAGGTGGCCCGTGGCCTTTACCATACTCCTACTCCGTGGTAGCTGAGTCAGGCGTGGTGGCGGCTCTGGCCGATCCCATCTCCGGTCTCTTTGACTCTGTCTTCACACCAGTAACATGCAGGTGAGGGGAGACAGAATGCAGTAGATGCTACGCAAGTCTACCATCATTTAATACTAATTCACGCGCAAGTCAC